TCGGCGCGTCCTTTGTAATTTCATGACGTATCATAGGCGTGCGGCATTTATTTAGAACGATAATAATAATGTTCTTATATCACAATAAATGGATTTTACTATCTTCTTATTTTTTTGATTTGGGATAAAAAATACTTATATTGGGAGTTTAATTTATGTTGACTGAAAGTTAAGAAATGGAAAAATTACATAATTCCAACGTTTGACATAGGCAAATATTTACATAGCAGGTAGGTATATAAAAAGGTATATAAAGACTTACATTATAGGTATTTATATATCATCCTCGCCTTCGGAGCTGTCGCTAGAGTCATCTTGTAGAGGAATTACAACGGGATTTACAGGAGGCAAAACACAATATTCATTTTCTTTTTCAATAATATGCCTAGAACACTGCTTCCATAGGTCTGTGGCAGCAATATGAGATACTGCATCTCTTATTGTGGATAATAGCGATTCACTTAATTGAGGGGTCTGATTATGTTTTCTTACCTTTTTTTTAAAGCAGCCCAGACCAACTCAATCAGGTTAAAAATGCAGTAATAGGGAGGTAGACGTAATACTTCATGGCCATTCTGCTGAAGCAGATTGTCAACAACATACTCTTTTTCAAATTTTTGTCTTTTAATAAGATCCAATAATATGGCTTTGGTTGATTTTTGTGGTATTTCCATTCCCTTATCCTTCATAAAATCAATTATGTCTTGTTTTTTTGTGCCTGTATTCGGAATTTTGTTTTTCTGTCGGGAATGGTATGGCGCATTGTCCATAATAATCACTGAATTTGGGGAAATGTTTGGTATTAACTGCTGCTCTATCCACTTTTCAAATAAGTCGGAGGTCATGTTCTCATGATAGTCGGCACATGATTCTTTGATATTTTTGGCAGATAACAGCAAGGCATTAGGTATAAATCCATTTTCACTGCCAGCATGGAGAATAATGATTCGTTTTCCACGGTTGCATGGTGCATTTAAAATGCACTTGTTGCTGTCATCAACCCAGCCGTACTGCACAACATCATGGGTATCATACCACGTTTCATCCAGGTAAATCAGATTTCTTTTCTGCTCTCTATAGATTTTAACTTTGTGCAAAAATTCTTGGCGCAATTCAACGATTCGAGACGACTCCATATTCACCATTCTTTTATCTAATTTTTTGTATTGAAAACCACACAGTTTTACAATACAGTGCAGTGAGTCTAAGCATTTGTAATTATAAAAATCTTCAGGATAATCTTTTAATTTGTCCCGTATTATTTCCAACGTGGGCACCAAATTTTCTTTATGAAATCCGTATATTATACGACGAATATCTTCCTGAAAACCCACGTCTATTCTTTTTAATTTTTGCCCTATGCACTTTCTGTGGAAGGAATGGTTGACTACATCTCCCCTTTTTATAACCCGATAAATGATAGACCGACTGATTTTTGTCAGGATACAAATTCTGTTTAAAATTTGATTTTGCGAGGAATCTGGATTTTCGTTTTTCAGACAATCATACATATTTAGGATTACTCTTTGGGTCTGTTCCTCTAAATCTTTATGAAAGAATTCTGCCTGCACAGGTTCATCAACCATCTCCTCGTGGCTTGGAGCATTTTCCCAAGGTCTCCAAAGAGCCATATTTAGGACACACAAGAACAATCAACACAACAATTAAATCGACAAGTAAACTGAGTATTCAAAAGTCAAAAACACGCAAACTAATAAAATCTATGAAAAAACACGGACAGACTAAAGAAAACACGTTTATTCACCGCTACACGGCACTGGCTAAACTGTTTCAATTTTCAGTAGCCACCTGCACTTGTTCCGAGCTCTGAAATACACGCTTTCTCATTGGCTATGTCCACGCATAGGCGTGCTTTACTCCACGTGGACCGGTGAAACTGCCTTTGATCTCTTATATCTTATTTGCTGCGAAATTTGGCGATTTTTGCAGCAACATAGATATATAAAACGCACCCGGTATTTCACAGTGTTTCAAGTGACTTCAGATAAAGTATACGTAATGCATTTCCACCATTTCTGCATTTGAATGATTCACCATTATTAGCAAGATTGTAAAAACTAAATAATGAAAAAGATGTCACAGCGCACAGATTTGAATAACAGAGACTTGTCAGATGACAAAAGCCAGTGACATATTTCAGAGCAACTAGATATTTATTGCTAAATTGCATTCTTCAATTATTACATTGATTTTCTCGGACAATACAACGGTTTTTATGTTTTACCCAAAAATGGCGCTTCGAAGGAAAACAATTCAAAAGAGATCATTTATTTTAAATTAAACGGGGAATTCAAAAATAATTTTTATTTGGCAAAAAACCATTGGCGTACTATTTTTTTCTTAAAAGATATCGAAGTCATTACCCGTACGCACGCCATTGTTAAAGCTAAAAATTATTTTTGCATTGAAACATATACAACTTTATTAACTTTCAGTACGTACTAAATATCAGTGAAATATCTGAAGCAGTTCTGAAAATATTAATTAATTTCCATTTCTTTTTTCCTAAAACTTCAACACCCAGAGTTTTTGTAAGGAAACATTTTTGAACCATAGTTTATAAAGCAAACCAACATTAATTTTTCATGTAGATTCACACCCTCAAATATTCGCATATCATTAAGGAACACTATGTATATATGTATATGCTTCTAACCCCGCTTATACTACGTACCTAACAGACGTATTTCTCGCTTAGATTTTCCTTCACAAGATAAAGTTTTCAATGAAAGCAGAACATAAAACTGTCGCAAAGGAGGCTGGATTTGGGTATCGAGCTGTGTTTGTCGGCTCCGAGGTTCGTGGATAGCGGTTTCGGAATTTTTTTCAAGGGGGGTGATGCGGCAAGTAGAACATTTTGTTTACTATGATTATGTATAAGGTCAGAGTGTCGCTAATCCTTAGCCTATGTATAACTCCGAAAGCACCGCTCGAGTTTGATGAAATATTGACACAGTTACTACTACAGTAATAAACTGAACATAATCTAATTGATGATAAAATTGCATGGGAAGAATGAAGTTCGTTTAAGCTTATGAAATATCTCAAACACATTTTTGCATGCGAGTTCAACCCTGTAGCACACAAAATCTTTCCAGAAGGTTCACAAGTCTGCTTAGTGTCACTCAGCAGGACGGGCCTTACGCCTGTTTATGTTGTACATTCCATTCCTTCTCTGGGCACTTGTTCCCAGGATGAACTTTCTTAAAATGCGGGCGTGGGCCTAATTACAGTGTTGATGTGCTATTGAGTATAGTGCTTTGGTTACCTGGAAGGTGAGCAATCACTGAGTATTTATTCTGTTGTGCTCCCTGGATTGATAACTATAACACTTTTATATTCATGATCATTAATGTCGTAAGCCACATTTATAAATAAGCTTTGATCGTATAGCCTTATTTATAAAGATACTTTGAGCATATTCATATTTACAAAGATGCTTTGATTATATATCCATAATTATAAAGAGGCTCTGGTCATATATCCACATTTATAAAGATGCTTTGACCATATATCCATACTTATAAAGATGCTTGGATCATATATTCATATTTCGATCAATGGCTCACGGACTCAATAATTGCGGATAACGATAGGGAAATTACGTGGCTCATACAGGGGTGACGTCTCCAGTCTGTGGGGGTTGTTATGGAACTTTCCGTACCCGATTGTTGGGTTTAGATGGTTATATTAATTACTGCTCGGTTTCCTCTATCAGGGGAAACGTCGGAGAGCTTGGGATGTTGACACGATGGCCTTTGGCTGACGTGGCATTCTAGGTTTGAATGACCGCTTAATCATCTCCTTTTGGCAATCGCTGGCATCTGAATGTATCTCGAGGCAGGGTGTGCGTAGGGATTGTTACTCTAAAGCTTGTCATGTTGCTCTCTGATTAAGAGGTAATGTCGGAGCCTTTGGGTATTGACACTACGGCCGTTGGTCAACGTGATATCCTGGATCCGGGATTGCTTTTAGTAACAATCGTTAGACTCAGCATACCTGTCTATACGCCAGGGTATCACATAGGGTACTGTGTGCTTAAAGCTATGTTGATCACATAGGCTGCTATGTGCTTAAGATTGCCTAACTGGAGGACTGTGTGCCCAGGGACTGTGTGTCCCAGGGGGGTGCCCCCGCTCTTAGGGTCTGCGGATCAGTATATGATAAATTAAAAATAAATAACGATGAATTGGTACCACTGCGGATAATTAATGTAATAATAAGGTAGTACATGTTATGAGTCGGTTGAATATGGGAGGAACTCAAATCATTTTTCCAAAAATAGATATTGGCCCGGACAATCCGATCATATCGCTTGCCAAAGGAGGATAACTCGTTGCCGTTCCGTCACCAAGTAAGTGGCTTTAATATTATCCTAACATTGTTGCCCATATCGAATTGTTTACGTACTGCCCTTGTAGTAAAAACGAAATGATACAGGATGGGACTTCGGTGGGCTTGGGGTTTTCACGTTTATTGTTATATTCTATTATTATCATACCTCGTTCGTAGGGGAGACTGTTGTACCATGGAACATTTTTTATGTTTTAATTTTTTTAATTTTCTGTAACTGTTTATTTAACAAAAAATGTATGCCAATGTGTTCGTTTAGGTGTTGGCTTTATATTTTTGTAAGAGTTATCAATTATTAGAATTTAAAATAGTAATAAAATGGATATTTTTACTGGCATGTCAAATGCTCCATGGTACACAACCGTAATGTACCATGGAACATGTACTCTTGTACCTTGGAACATAATAAATCCCAGGTACTTTGGTAAATGGAATGCAAAAAGAGAGATGTCCGGAGTATTATTTTTAATAAATCATGTTCCAAATGAGTCACAAATAATAAAACCTTACAAATAACTAAAACAACAAACATTAGTGAAAAAAAAAATATAAGAAAAGATTTGTTTCAGCGTTTAACACAAAAATCACAAATATATATTTTGCACCCTTCTTTAGTTGCAGCACAGAGTTCGTGGGCCCATCCTAAGCAGGACATGCATCGGATCTATTGCTCTCCATGAATGTCATTTTTGAACGATTCATTGCAAAAAAGGCACTCCTCGTCATTGCTGTCCTCATCATCAGTTTCTACAAGATGAACTATATCGTCCTCCTCTTCAGAAGATGAATATTGAACTTGTTTCCTTTGCTGATTCTTCTTCTGCCTCCTTACTTTTAATTTTTTTGATTTGTCTTTATTTTGTTCATTTGTTTCTTCTATATTTATACGACGTTTAAAGGAGACTTTCTTTTCATTTTTTAACCGTTCTTTTTCCGGAGTGTCTGTTGCAATCATGGTTTTGCCACGCTTTCTTCCTTTATTGGTAGCTTTTCTTGGTTTTGCTTTTGGGTAAGGTACAACGTCTTCAGGTAGTAAGTTTACAGTGTCCGTTGATGATTTTCTTTCTGTTAGTATGGGAAACTGATTTGAGTCAGTATTTATTTTGATTTCGGAAGGACCTGGTTTACTAAGTGTCTCTTTTGATATGTTCAAATTTGGTTGATATGGCCCTTGTAAATTAAAGTCCACACTGGTTCCAGGAAACACTGCTTTAGGCCTATTCTCAGATTCCTTTTCGAAATTATGAAGAGTGATTGAGCCTTCCTTTGCATCATTTGGGCCAATAGATTTTGGATCTGGCCTATCAGTAGCATATGCTGGTAAAAAGTCTTCTTCAGAAAAAATGTTTCTGTCAAGAGGGAAAATACCGGCTTTCCGGAATCCATTGCAAATGTTTATTGGACAGAACGCACGTGCATATGCCTTGCCAACTACTTGTCCAACAGCATAAATGTCAAAAGTCTGTCCAGGGTTGTTAAACAACCATTCCGTCACTAACTGGTTGTAATGGCATTTAAAAGATCCGTAGACTGACAAGTCTAGGGGTTGCAATTTATGAGAAGTGTGTGGGGGGAATGTCACAACGACAACGCCATTGTCTGAAGCCAAATTAAGAGTTTTTAAGTTTAAGTGGGTTTCATGATTGTCCATAACTAAAAGTACACGATCTGACTTGGATGGCCTTACACTTTTTATGAAATGATTCATGAATTGTAAGAAAGTATCTTCATTTGACCACCCTCTCTGTGTAGCAGCCCCAACCGATCCCGGTGGAGCGCCAAATAACATCCTCTCTTTGAAGTGTACTCGGGGAAAAATCAACATAGGACTTATGTGATTTCCACTTGCACTGACTGCTGTTATCAATGTAACTAAATTGCCACGTTCAGCAGAAGTCACACTACCAACCTGTCTTATTCCTTTTGGTGCCACAATTTTTCCAGGGGTTTGGACAGTGCTCATGCCAGTCTCATCAATGTTCCAAATCCGCTCAGCTGGAATAGGTCCAAAGCGGTTATGCACACTTTCAATATTATCAAAGAAAGCACTGACATTGGTTTTATTGAAACTACTTGCCCTACTTAAGCTAGTAGCCTCAGGTGTCCTTATAGATAAGTCTGGGTGACGTTTCATAAAAGCCCTCATCCATTCCTCACCTGCAATTTGATTCTGGTGCCATGTATCTGGAGAAGCTTTATTATTTGCTGCAGCAAACTTGAAAGCGAGTTCTCTTACACTTTTTTTCGTCAAGCCATAATTCATTTTTGCCACCTTTTTTATATAAAGGAGCAAACAATTCTCTTCATAATCAGTGAATACTTTTTTGTTATCCAGTCTTGGTTTATATTCGAAAGTTTGACTCTCTGATTTTCGAAACCGAGAAAGATGTCTTGACAAAGTTGTTAACTTAACACCAAATATTTTACATGCTTCTCTTAAAGATATATTTTCTGGATCCAAAACTGCCTTAACAGCATTTTCTAATGCAGTAGAATTAACAGGAGGTCTTTTGACGTTCAATTTGCTGCGAGGCATTTTACCTAAAACAAGAGAAAAACTCGATAAAAAGTATCGTCATGTACCATGAAACGTGTTCCAAGGTACAAGCTGTTTTATGTTCCAAGGTACAGGAAGGGACCTTGCCGAAACAAAATCGCTTCCTAACCTACAAACTGTCGTAAACTGATTGTTTAAGAGGATGAATCTACTCACCACATTACAAGGACTTCTATTATTCTAATAAAGTCCACAATCCGACTAGCACCTTCGATTAAAGAAAACGAATTTGAAATTAAAAATTTTTACTTCTGTCTTTGAAAAATAATATTTACTCACAAAAACCACGGGGTGATCAGTAGAAAGCTCAAATTATTGTAAGGGATCTGTAACGGTAATCTAATTTAGGAAATTTATTTTCCGGCCGCTAGATGTCAGAACTATGAAAAAATGGTATGTGTTCCAAGGTACACTATGCCCAAGGTACAACAGTCGCCCCTATCCTATATATTTTCTCAGAAGTGGGATCTGACACGTATGTGCCTAGATCTGATAGTTATGGGCTTCTGATGTTGTTGGTATTTGGTCAATTGTCAGGATTGTCTTGTAAATAGAAATCACGGAAAACCTTGGTCGGCCCTGACGTATTGAACTCCGACCCTCGTACTCCTTCATATTTTGTCTCATATGGATTTGAGCATCTGGTTGTCAAATATTCGAAGTCTCATCATGGTCTCAAAACTATTCCGTTCATCGTCAATGGGTAACGCCGACCCTGGAGAATCTCGGGAGATCGAAAACAGTTAGCAGTCAAGTACTGTCATAAAATAGATAAGCCTCGCACTATTTCGGCTGATCTATACAGGCCTTGATGCACTATGAGTGCCCAAGTTAGAGAAGTTGACAGCTGTTTTTTATAAGAATCTTAAAAATCTAATAAGTCGTAGTCTAATGGTCTACTAAATATAACAATTGCTTTTCGCTTGCTTGAGGCCAAGCAGGTAGATTTTTAGTTGAAAAGGCAATGTTTGTTATTTTGGCGACAAGCCGGTGGTTAGAGCTTGACTAATTGCAAGTGATGTCGATGGTGCTATGCCGAAAATAGATTTTAATGGGCAATGAAAGTGGACGGTAGCCCATAAACAGGTTGTGTAATTTTGGTCACACTTGTTTTATCATTACTTTCGATGTGGTGCCAAACTGGTGCATTTCCTATAACCCTTCGGGAGTGGCCATACTGAAGGATTATGTAAATGTTTTGACCTAGTTCATAATTTTTGTCACTTAAGCATTGAGGATAATGGTGTGACGTGGGTATAAAAACCCTCGTGGTACCAATGTTACGTTAGAAACACACTTTCCTTGTTGCAAAACCCTTCACTTTGGAAGAAGCTGCAAATAAGTTGCTTTTCAATATAGGCACGTTCCTGTGTAACTCTAAAGATACCCATCTAGGAACAATTCTTCTTGGCACTCTCTGTGAATTTAGGGAGGTTTTCTCAGTATTTCTAATAACTTTATGATATTGTGATGGTGCTTTTTTGCCAGCTAAGGCAGTTGGCGAAACGCTGGAGATACTCAGAGAGTTTTGGAAATTTATTGATAGGAAAACCTCACGTTCGTATTGAAAGTATCTGATTTCCTGTTGAGATTATTTATATTTCGATGATCTCAAATAAAGAGGAGGATTTCACGGTTGGGTCCATATCGGAGGTTCAGCTAGGAAAATTGGTTAGCTTGCCAAATCAATATCGCGACTGTTTTACTCAGTCGATGGCTGAACTCAGCGAGGCTGAAATGACGATGCAGCTTAAGGAGGAAAGGTCATTCACGTATCGGCTTTAGCGAATGGTAGGCTCAGAACAAGAAGCTGTGAAGGAGATAGTCGATGATCTTCTAAGCAACACAGTCATACGAGCATGAGACTCAAATTATACATCCCCGGCTCTTCTGGTCAAGAAAGAAAGTTGCGAAAAAAGGTTATGTGTCGACTATCGCCATTTAAGTGCGGTAAAAGTCAAAGACAATCACCCCCAAGAATGGATGATCAAATCGACAGGCTCCGTGACGAGATCTATTTCACTAGTCTAGATCTTAGGTCCGGATACTACCAGACTCCTATGGAGGAGGAATCGAAGCTATACACAGCATTTGTCACTCCGGGAGGTCTCTATGAATTCAATGGAGCTCCTTCCGGCCTTTCAAATGCACCCAGAGTATTTCGGAGGGTTACGAACCGGTTGCTCAAGCCGGCGCAAGACGTTGCAGCCGTATATCTTGATGATGTATTGCTGCATGCTAAGACTGCGGAGGAAGCATTGAAGGGTATCCAAAAGATTCTGGAAATCTTCCGAGGGAAAGGTCTCACTTTGAACTTGAAGAAATGTGCTTTTCTGATGAGATCACTTACATTTCTTGGGTTCCAAATAGAGGATGGAAAGGTCAGATTCGGCGATGAGAAGACGAAAGCACTGTACAGTTTTCGCCAACCAAATACATTACACCAAGTCGGACAGTTCCTTGGACTAACAGAATACTTTAAGCATTTTGTGAAGGACTACACTATAGTTGCTAAGACTCTCACAAATCTTCTCAAAAAGAGTATATCTTGGAGGTGGGGTGAACAGGAAGAAGCATCATTTAGGAAGTTGCAGAGCAACTTAGTGAGTTGGCCAGTTTTGGCTCTGTATGGCTCACTGAACTTCGTTGCGACACAAGTATGCTGAGAGTTGCAGGGATACTCTTGCAGATGCAGCCCAATAAGACGCTACATCCAGTGGAGTACTATAGAACGTACTTATCGCTTGCCAAAGGAGGATAACTCGTTGCCGCTCCGTCACCAAGTAAGTGGCTTTAATATTATCCTGACATTGTTGCCCATATCGAATTGTTTACGTACTGCTCTTGTAGTAAAAGTGAAATGATACATTGTAGTACTTCGATGGGTTTGTGGTTTTCACGTTTATTGTTATATTGTATTATTATCATATCTCGTTCGTATCCTATACTTGACGCCACCATTTTCATATTTATTCGCGCTAAGCCTGCCTTTAGTTTTCCCAACAACATTCTTTACCTTCATGTATTCATTACAACGTTATTTGTGTTTCATATTGACTACTTAAAAAATAAAGAAAACCATTGCGTTAGACACAATCATAATATGCAACGAGCCATTTGCTATTTCCCATCTTCACTAATAAGATCAAAGATATAACGCAAATTAGCTCATTTAAATTCATTATTTTATTATTCAACAACACCGACAATGCTTTATATCATAACGAAATCAAAGTCAAGGCATAAAGTTGCCGGGCGAAATAAAAATGGGTTGGGATGTAAGCTCCAGGTAATCGATTGAAATTCTCACTCTCTCGGTCAGGGCCGGCGTCGAAATATAGGTGAATCATACTTTTGCGCAATATACACTTAGATTAATTGAAGGTAGTAGTAATATGCTTCATTCACGAGGTCAGTTCTATGAGGACAGCGGTATCTTAAAAATGGGTGCTTCCTGATTGATTGTCAATATTTAAGGGGACGATTCTTGGCTCAATTTTAAGATGAAAGCTTCATATGAACGTACATATGTCCTAAGCATGCTTAATTTCGAGATACAAGGTTTTCGTGCCGATAATCCCCATATTCATCTGGCCAATCATATGTGTTGAAAAATATCTTTATTGTAAACGTTTCGGACACAACGGTGACCATCATCAGTAAGCTAACTTCGACAACATATGACAAATATGGGGGATTACTAAATAATATATTATTAATATATAAAAATACCACTTAAGATATCTTAATGAAATTTGGCATACATGTATCGAGAGGCATTTAATGTACCACATTTTTCTTAATTTCTACCACTGGGGTTCGTATGGAATTTCACCTGCCTATTTTGACATACATTGATGGTACGCTACTGTCTCTTAAGACAACAACTATTTTTGAAATCTCCTATCATTTTTAAGCAAATTTAGTCGCTTGATTTTTTCAATCCGATGCACGGTTTTCACTTAAAAATATCCTTGTCACGACAAAATCAGTATGCAGAGAAATAGCTTTTCGTTTAGGTAAAAACCGTGCGTCGGGGTAAAGAATTAAAGAGTTCAAATCTGCTCACAAATGAAGGCAGATTTCAATTTTTATTTTAACTTGGGAGAAGACCTATATTGAAAATTTTACCACCCGGTATCTCAAAAGTTAAGACGTTTAGCACACGTTCATATGAAGTTTTTTTCTTGAAATTGACCCAAAACACCCTGTATAGAAAAATTCGTATGCAGGATGTTGCCGAACGTTTCCAATGAAAATGTGAATATAGTCAAAATCACGAATGATGACTATTACGCCATATCATAAATTGTACTGGAGTAATCAATGGACGTACGTCGATGATAAAATCACGATGTCAGGAACACAATGAAAACAAATTCATATTATGATTTTGCGAAGTTAGGCTATTTCACTGATTATTTTTATTTTCATTTTATTTCATGGTTTTTGGTGATACCTTAATGATAATTTTAGTGGGGAGTTTTTGTTTTGAAAAAAAAACACTTATGAGTAGAACCTTAAGACATAAACACCAAAGACCAAAGTATTATTCGAAAACAACCTATAGTCCGTACCATGAATGTTGGCGTACACGTCATCATTTGTACATTTCCGAGCAAATAGTTTTGAAGTAGGCACTTTCTACCATAAGCGAATATCCATAGGGGTGCCCCCGGGAAGAGATTTTTAGTAGTAAAAATGTACTGTGTCAGGCGGCAAAAAGTATTTTCTGTATATTTCGAAAATATTTGCTGCACAAAACGGCAAGTCTTGATTTATTGTTATTTGAATGCGCGATTTAAGGAACATATTTCAATTTTGCAGGAAATGAAGAAAAACAGAATATTTTCTGAAAAAGCATAACATTGAGAAAAATATTGAAATTTCAGTTTTAAGTTCTAAAATTAAATTGATTGTAATAATCACTTCTGGCACATTATCCAGGATTCGTTGTCTGTTATACCATGCATCTATAACTCCC